ATATGTACATTATATTTATTAATCATCTACTATAACTATATTTATGACCTACTGTGTGCCAGGCACTATGCTAGACATTTAGGATATAAGTACAAGGAATGAAGTAATCTCTATCCACAAGAATGGACATTCTAAAGGCAGCTAGATGACGCAGTGGATAGAGCATTGGTCCTGGAGTCAGGAGGACCTGGGTTCAAATTTTGCCTCAGACCAAACACTTGACACTTACTAGCTGTGTGACCCTGGGCAAGTCACTTAACCCCATTGCCTAGCCAAAAAAAAAAAAAGAATGGACATTCGAATGGGGGGAGACAACACACACACAAATATATATAGTATAAATTGAATAAATACAAACATAGACAAAGTTGTTAAATACAAGGAAATTTGGGAAGGAAGATGTTGGCACTTGGTGACATCAGGAAAGGCTTCATGGTAGTTGAGCTGTGTGTTAAAGTGAGGGATTCCAGGAGGTAGAGTTAAGAACAAAGGGCATTCCATTCTGGGTTGAGGGACACCCAGTCCAAAGGTGGAGAATGGGCAGATGGATTGTCAGATGTGTGAGGAATGAGAAAGCAAGCCCTGTTGGCTGGATCGAAGAGCGCAGGAAGAAGAGTAATGTCCAGTGAGTCTGGAAACATAGATCGGGGCTCCGGTTGTCTAGGACTTTGACAACCAAGTGGTGGAGTTTTTGTTGGATCCTAAAGGCAATGAGTTGATTGAGTAGGGGGATCATATGACTAGATCTGCATTTAAGGACAATAACTTTGGCAGCAATAAGTAGGATTAACTGGAGCAGGAGAGACTTAGGAAGGGAGACCAATGAGGAGGTAGGCCCCATCGTCTAGGTGATAAGGTCTGAACTGAAGTGGAAGCTGTATGAGTGGAGGTGGAAATGTCAAGATCTGGCAACTTATTGACTAGGCAGGGTAAGAGAAAGGGACATGGTGGACCTGGAAGGCTGGAAGGATGGTGGTACTTTGAAAAAATGGGGACATTTGGAAGAGCGGAGGGTTTGTGGGGAAAAACAATGCCTTCAATTTGGGATATGTTGAGATTAAAATATCTCCTGGATATCCAATTTGAAATGTCCAATAGGGAATTGGTATAATAGGGCTGAAGCTCAGGGGAGAGACTTGGGCTGGATATATAGATCTTGGAGTCATCTGAATAGGGATGTCTGTTAAACCAATGGAGCTGATGAGGTTTCTTAGAAGGAGTGAAAAGAGCTTAAAATAGAACCATTTGGAACACCCACAGTGAATAAATACGCTTGTAAAGGAGTGAGAAGGGCCCTTCAATCAGTGTCAGGAAAATCCAGAGAAGATAGAGTATCTAGGAAAAGAAGATGGTCAACAGCGTCACATTAAGCAGATAGGCCAAGAAGGATGAGGATTGAAAACAACAACAACAACAAAAAAAACATCAGATTTGGCAATTGAGAGATCTTCGGTAACTTTGGAGAGAGCAGTTCATTTGAGTGATGAGGATGGAAGCCAATTGGTAAAAGATGGAGAAAAGGGTGAGAGGTGAGCTTCTTTACTCAGAGGAGGTAACCAGCTTTTCAAGGCATGTGGCCAAGGAAGGAGAAGAGATATAGGAAGATAATTCAGGGGATGGTAGGGTCCAGTGAAGAGTTTTATTTTATTTTTTTAAAGATGAGGAAGACTATGGTATGTTTGAAGGCAGTAAAGAAGGAACCAATAGGTAAGGAGAGGTTGAAAGTTTGTGAGAGAAGGGGATGATTAAGGATGTGATCTGTTGGAGAATGGGGGTAGGAGGGTCATCAGGGACGCATAAAGAGTGGTTGGTTCCCCCCCCCCAAAAAAAAAGAGCCAAGACTTCTTTGTCAGAGACTATGGCAAAAGAAGAGAGTGGGAGACGGATGACAGCTGAGGCAGTTGAGATGACAATGATGGGAAAAGAGGGAGCTCGCATTGAACAGTCGTAATTTTCTCAGTATAGCAAGAGGCAAGGGCCTCTTCTGAGAAAGGGAAGTGTGGGAGGCTGGAGGAAGAGAAGGGAATAAGCACTTATATTGGTCCTACTGTGTGCTAAGCACTGGGTAAGGGCTTTGTGAAGATATTATTTCATTTGATTTGAAGTTGGACGAGGAAAGAGCAGTTTCTGTCTTCATCTTTCTATTCACCGCATCACCTCTGACCTTGAATATTGATTATAACATAACTGGTTTCCCTGCCTCAAGTCTTTGCATTCTTTTTTGAATATTCTTAAAGCATAGATCTGGCTATGACATCCCTCTGCTCATGACGCTCAAATGCTCCCTATTGCCTTAGAAATCAAATAAGAATTCATTTGTGTGACTAAATCTTTTCACGATCTGATTTCAGCCCACTTTTTCCAAGTCATTTTATGTTACATCCCCACCCCCACCCCAACCCCCATGGTCTGTGATGCAGTAAAATTGGCCCTTTCGCTCTGCTTTACTCATAACACTTCATTTCCCACCTCCAGACCTTTGCATGGGTTGTGCCCCATGTTGGAATGTCCTCTATTCTCACTTCTGTCTATTGGAATGTAGTTGCCTTTGAAACTCAGCCTGACTCTAGCCCATACAGAAGTTTCTTCTGATTCTGTAAGCTGTCAGTACCTTCCCCTACCCAGGATTATAGCATATTTATTTAGCATATGTGTATGTATTGTTTTCTTCAAACAGAAGACCCTTAAGGGCAGAGATGGGTATATTTTTTTTTTGAGTGGGGGAAGGAGAGGTCTTTGTATCCCCAGCACCTGGCACATCAGAGAAATTTAATAACTGTGGGGTAATTGATTGCTCACCTGGTGATCTTCTGGAATGTGATTGTTCTCTGATGGACTAGTCTCATGAAGCTATCAACTCCCTCCTCAGTAAGCCATCAGATGTTATAGAAGGGGCTTGCTGACAGTTGGGCTGGAGACATGGAGTATTAGAAAGATGATCCTGGGGCAGCTAGATGGGGCAGTGGATAGAGCACCAGCCCTGGAGTCAGGAGGACCTGTGTTCAAATGCAGCCTCAGACACCTGACACTCACTAGCTGTGTGACCGTGGGCAAGTCACTTAACCCCATTGCCTAGCCAAAAAAAAAAGGAAAAAGAAAGATGGCCCAGGACTTTGGAGTCTGCTGAGTTTCCAAAGAGACAGAGTCTGAGTCTTGCTCTACTATGTAAGAGCTGTGTGACCTTGGGCAAATAATTCCCCCTCTCTGGGCTTTTAATGGAAGGGGGTCAGATTAGACCAGGGGTGGGGAATCTGTGTCACATGTAGCCTTCCAAGTCCTTGAGTGTGGCTTTTTGACTGAGTCCAAGTTTTACAGAGCAAATCCTTTTATTAAGGGGATTTTCCCTGTGAAGTTTGGATTCAGTCAAAGGGCCGCACTTGAGGGCCTAGAGGGCCACATGTGGCCTGGAGGCTGCAGATTCCCCACCCCTGGACTAGACCTTCATTGTTCAAGTCCCTTTAATATGAACTTTCTCTAATCTTTCTGAGTCTTCGATCCTTAGAAGTTATGCCTATAATGATTCCAGTCATAATAGAGGTGTTTAATCATTTCAGCTGTCATAATTAGTTAAAAATTAACATAAAGCAATTAAATGATATACTTTAGATTCTTTGTCATGGTAGAACTTCAAGAAAGGGAGCCAACACAAAATGTTCATTTGCCTTCTTTTCTTACTAGGCTATAAGGCAGAACAGGAATGTTAGATAACAAATGACCATGACTGTTCTAAAAAGACACTTGTCTATTGGCATGGTAAAGCACGAGTTCACTAGTCCCTTCCTGGAGTCATGGGGGAGTGACCCTTAGTCAAAGAAAAGCTCATTTATCAAAAAATAAATACGTGAACTACCTGTTTTCTCTCCATGGCGATCAAAGCAAAGTGATTCCAAAATGGTCTTTCCGAATACAAAGAAATAAGATACAATAAGCACCGATGACCAGTTTATGATAATCAGTTTATGAGATGTGATCAACTCCCACCACACGGAAGAATAAACGATGGTTTGGAAAACACTTAGACATCTCACTTACTTGCTACTTTGAGACAAACTCCTCTGTTGCGTCCTATTCTTTCGTATTAATTAATATAGGCAATCCCAAAGCTTTAATAGCCTAAAGCTACGGCTTTGGGGACCCTTTATTTAGCTCTTTCCATAAAAGGTCAGTTTAGAGATGTGGGTCACATTTCTGGAAAGATATAACCTGCTCAATGACATTAAGGTCCCTACACACACACTTTATTAGTATCTGAGTTAGCCTCCACAGTTTCCATAAAATTCAGAATTATCTATGAGCCCAGTTAGCTCAGTTCTAGTACTATCTTAACCTCCCCTCCCCCCTCTCCAGTCCCTTCCCTCATACGGCCTTGGCATTGAAGGACTCCATTTCTTTGACTAACTTTTTTCTCACAATTATATGCAAAAATAGCATCATCGTAATTGTCTGGATTTCGAGTAGCTCATTTCAAATGTGATATAGGAGGATTTTGCCCAAATTAGCTTCAGAGGGGACCTTGGGTAGGAGGTGTCAGAACTGGGAGTTAAGAAAACCCCTGAAGGAACAACCTAGTAGTCCCGGCTAGGTTTTCCTATGTTCTATTCCCTTAAGAGGCAGCATTAAGGAGCGAGGTGCCAGGGGAAGCTGTTAATTCCTCCTGTTATTTATATTGGTTACTTTGTATCCCTCGCCTAGTCCCCTTCGCCTTGTCCCCTTCGCCTTGTCCCCTCCGCCTCCGCCTCCCTCCTCGCTCCCCGCCCTCTGCTTCCCCTCCCAGCTCTGGGGCTCGCGCTCCCGCGCTCCCTCCCTCCCTCCCTCCTCCCGACAGTTCGCGCTCCCCTCCCCTCCCAGAGCTCGTCTCTCGCTCTCGCCCCTCCCTTCGGGGTTCCTTGCCCTCCCCCCCTCCCCATCCCGGCCCCCTCCCCCGCTCCCGCGGCACTGTGGGTAGCCAGCAACCCCAGCGGCGGCGGTGACTCGGGGCAGCTCCGCCGGGGCGGCTTCGGCTTCTTCGGCGGCGGCGGCTGGGGCTCGGCCGCGGGTTGGGCGTGCGGAGGAGGGGCCGGGCCGGCGGACGATGGCGGAGAAGCCGAAGCACGACGGGCGCGTGAAGATCGGCCACTACGTGCTGGGCGACACGCTGGGGGTCGGCACCTTCGGCAAAGTGAAGAGTTGAGTGGGGGGCGGGGGGCGGGCGGTCATCTGTGCGCCTTTCCCGATATACACCTGTGGGGGGGAGGAGGTGGGGGGTGTTCCTCCCCCAGGGCCGAGGCTGGGAGGGGTGTCATCTGTGCGCCCCTCCCGATATGCAGCTGTCGGGGGGCGGAGGAGGGGGGAGTCCCTCCCCTAGGGCTGAGACTAGGTGGGGTGGGGGGGTCACCTGTGAACCCCTTTCTTGTGTTACACCTGTCGGGGGAGGAGGAGGGGGGTGTCCCTCTCCCAGGGCAGTGTGTGTGTGTGTGGGGGGGGGTTTACCTGTGTGCCCCTCCCAATATGCACCTGTGTGGGGGGGAGGAGGTGGGGCCGAGGCTGGGTGGGTGTCACCTGTGTGCCCCCTACCTGTGTACACCTGTCGGGGGAGGAGGAGGCGGGGGCGTCCCTCCACCAGGGTGGGGTGCGGGGTCACTTGTGCGCCCCTCTGACACCCAGCTGTCAGGGGGAGGGGGAGCTGGGGGCCGCGAGGGCGTGGCCGGGGCTGGGTCACTTGGGCCCTCCCCGCCCCTCCCACACCTGTCTCTTGGAGGTGCTGGCTCCTGCCCCAGCCCTGCCTCTGGCTGCCTGCGTGACCTTGAGCTCGGCCTAGCTCCTCCGGGGCTTCTCGGTGCACTCTGCCTCCCCGGAGGGTGGGGCTTGGGGGAGAGGAATGATCCCCCTCCACACTCCCTCGTGGAAAGAGCGTAGACACAGTCGTCCGTGGTCCTGGGTTCAAATGCTGACTCTGCGTGTAGGAACGTCCTCAGTTCCGTAAAAGGAGGGAGTTGTACTCCTAGGTGTCAGAGGTCCCTCCCACCTAGATTCAGGATTCTGGGAAGCAGGTTGAGTCTTGTTCATCCTGAATGACCTAGGCCAGCCCCTGTGCCTCTCTGGGCTCCTGGGAGGTCTGTATGTCAATGCCAGCCTCAGCTCTTCGGCTCCTGGGCTGGGGACCCTGTACCGGTGGTTCGTCCTGCTCCAGTCTTCAGCCTCAGTTTCCTTCACTGTGGATGGGATAAGAAATGCTTGTCCCACCGGAGGGGGCCATTGGCTTGTGGGGAGAGAGGACTACATTGAATGTTAATGTATAGCTGGGAGCATTGCCACATGGTAGCCCTTTGGGATCACAGATGTGCCTTGGTCGAGGGGATGCATGAATTACTAGTGGTAGGCTTAAGAAGAAGCTTTGAGTTCAAATCCCACCTTTGACACTTCTTAGCTGGATTAAAATGAGCAAGTCAGCTACTTTTAGCCTCCTGTAAAATGGAGGTAATAATATTTCAAGTAACTAGTTCACAGAGTGGTCTTCAGGCTCAAACGAGATGGTGTATGGAAAATACTTTTTTCAGAAATGCACAAAATGCACATTACTCTTATTAGGGTATTATACGATCATTATTATAATGTATATCTTATACTGCTTGAAGTTTTTCTCCCCAAGCTCTTTCATCTAGATGCATTTATTGAGCACCAGCTGTGTGCAAGTCTTGAACAGGCCCTGAGGATACAAAGTCATAAAACAGTCCCTTGCCCTCATAAAGTTTATATTCTATAGGGAAGGGAAATACAGTTTATATACGCTAGTAAATAAAAAGTATGTACCAAGTGAGTACATAGTAATTTTGTGTAACGGAGAGTATAGTTTGGTGAGTGAGAGTGAGGTTGGAGGTGACACCAGGCTTGAGCTTTGAATGTCACTGACTTCCAAGGACATAATTGTTCCAAATATGAGGTTTAGGGTCCCTCCCTGGAGTCCTTCCTGTTCTGCTCCTACAGCTCAGCAGTGAATTCACACCTTTCCATAAGCTCTGTCTCTGGGGCTTGCTGAAGGAGCTGGGGATGTTTATCCTGATCATTCAGGGGTGAGATGGCTAGCTGTCTGTAGGCCTTCTAAGGGCTGTGGGACAGAGGAGGCTTTTGATTTATTCTGTGTGAACCAGGAGGAAAACAACAGTGGCCAGTACAAGCAGGTAAACTTCACCCCCACAGAAAGAAAATGTTCTTTGCACCACGAGCTCATCCAAAATGGGAGGAGCTGTTTTCAAGGGAATGAATTCTAATTCTGAAAGTGTATCATGGGAACAATTTTTTTTTCCTCTGGGGAGCTGGCTGTTAACATCTACCAGCACACCACAGGCCTCAGTCATCCTTCATTTGTGTGAAACCAGAGGTCTTTAGTGGAGTCATATGGCGATGGATGAGAGTTGAAATAAGGGCTCTCTGAGGTTACTTTGAGCCTGCAAAGTTCTGTGATCGTCAGGATGGCAAGGGAATGTGTCTGAGTGGTTTGGAGGGGAGGGTGGGCAAGGCCGTTTTCTGGAAGAGTCTGGCCGGCTTTTGAGAAGCAGCAAGGTTTTTGTGGGAAGAGCAATGTCTGGGGGTTAGGAGATCCAGTTGCACTGAACTGAACCCTGTGACACCCTTGACAGGTCACTTTTCTGCTCTAGGCCTTCCATGCCTCCTGTGCAAAATGAGGTTAGTGGAGATGATGCTTTAGCTTCCTTCTGGCCCTGCTCTGTGATTCTGAAGGGGCAGGGCTTCCTTCTGGTAGGCCTGAGAGGCTTTGGGGCAGAGTTCCCATCTTAGATGCCAGGGTTCTGGAGATTTGATTCTATCCCTGCGAAGGGAAGACCCTCTTAGTCGTAGGGTTCAAGGTAGGTGACTCATTATCCATAGGGGACATTTCTTCATGTGCTGCCCTGGTGTCCTCTTTGACTTTTCTGTTAGTGATAGTCCCAGCTCCTGTTTATTGTACATTGAAGCGGTTTTGAAGCCAGTTGCTTAAAGTTCATTCTGATTCTGATTGCTGGACACAGATTTTTAAAAGATGGATTTTTTTTCTTTCCTTGAGGCAGTGCGTAATTTAGAGATTCCTTTGAAGCTTCTTCTCCAGTCCTGATTCCTCTATCAGTGTGCCAGGTGTTAGTCCTACTTTAACATTCATTCTATAGGAGTGTGAAGCCCATTATGCAAAGGATTGTGGCCAAGATCAGCAGGTGGTGTTTCCTTCCTCATTTCTGGCATTGGAGAGCATTGATTTCTAGGTACTGCGTAAGCTTAGGTTACTTTTGAAAGCAGCATGATGAGTGTAGGCAGATGAGTAGTAAAGATAGATGGGTAGTGTAGACAGGTGGAGAGGGCAGAGCGGGCAGGACATTTGTACCCCTGAGGTGAGGTTGGAACACCACGTCTTGAGCAACTGGTTAGCACTGTACCATGGGTCACAGAGGACCGAATTTCTTGGCATGAAAGAATGCACATAAAAAAAAATAGAGTAAATATTGTTTCTCCCTCCCATTCCACCCTTGGTCACTCTCTACTTTGCCCTGCTCTAAGACCCAGCTCTGGGTAGTTATGTTATAAAAGTAGTTTGCAATCATAGAGTGATATACAAAGTTATTTTTTTAATGTATACTATCTTATTTAATCCTAATGGTAAACCTGACAGATATATTGTGTAAATGGTATTATGCCTGTTTTATAACGAGGAAGCGGAGGCTTCAGGAGTCAAACATAAACTAAATGAGGTAGCTAGGACCGGAACCCAGAATTTTTTTGCTTGGTTAGTGCTTTTCCTTAAAGAAGGAACTTCCTTCTTTATTATATATGATATATATTTTATTTATTATAGATTTAATATACATAGACATATTTATTATAGTTTTATTATATAGATACCTTTATTATAGATTTAATATATGATATATTCATGTATAAATGCTGGTATATTAATAATGTAATAGCACAGAATTATGAATTGCTGTATAGTATATTAATATAAACATGATAATATATATATGTATATCTATCATATACATATATCATTGAAGTTCTACATATGATATCTATCTTCATAATGATTTGGAATTGGGTTATATCTCTTTGTGATTTCTGTCAGTATTCTGGCAAGTTTGCAGTCCAGAGACCTGAGTTTGAATCATGCCTCAGACACTTACTAGCTATGTTATTATGGGTGTGTCATTGACAGTCTCAGAAATCGAGTAACTTTTCTGTCATGCTGAGATTTTGATATGGGCTGACTTGTCTGCAGTGGTGGGTGTTCTCCCATTAGATATACTCATGCCAGAACTGGACAATCACTTTCTGGGTATGAGATAGAGAACAGTTTTTTTGGTGTTAGTCACTGAGTATTTAATAATAGCCAGGCACTGTGCTAAGCTTTGGGGATACAAAACAAGGCAAAAGGTAGTCCCTGCCCTCAGAGAGCTTACAGTCGAATGGGGAGACAACATGAAAATGACTATGGCCACACAAGATACAAGATAGGCACAGTGACCTGGAAATAATCAACCTCTGTTGATGGGATGAGACAGCTGCTCACGTCTCTTCAACCCTGAGATTCTGGGATTCTCCAATACCTCACAAAATTGTTGTGAAGCGAGGATTTTAAAGTAATATATGAATGTGAATTAATATTATTTACAAAATATTCCTGTTATTAGCTGGCCCTTGTAAAGGATAACGCAAACAGGATTGTGCTTATCACCTGGAGGTTTGTGAGTTCAGATTTGTGTACCTTAACTTTATAGCCTTTCCAGCTGTGTAAAAAGGTTCTTGTATTTTGTCTTAATCAAGCCCCTGATGGTCAGACGAAAAGCCATTTGGGCTAATTAATCCAATGGCAAAGGACCATTTAAACCACTGTATACATATTCCTAATAAGTTTGAATTGCTGACTTAAAAAAATCAGTGTCTAACACAAACCAGGTGGATTTATTAAAAAAACTTGTTTCGTGGAGACCTCCTCTCCTCTAAGGAGTAAATTCTCTGAGAAATTTCCAGGATTGAAGGCTTTTCACCAAAGAGTCATTTCTGAAGCAAGGTTAGGATCTGTTTGGTTGTTTGCTAACTGGATTGCACTTTCTGCAAAATTCAGGTTAATCATTTCATTGGGGGAAGGGAAATAAAAACACAGGATTTTTTTGAATCTTTTAGATTTTAGACCTTGTAGAATTTT